AATAAACATTTGAAATATATGAGTTTACTGTATATGTAATGTATGAATATAATATACAAGTTTCACTTTTTAAATGGAATTACTGAAATAAATCTACTTTTTCATGATATTCTAATTTTATGACCAGCACCTGTATGTACAAAAATCATATCAAAGTGCTGCAAACAAAAAGCCTAAAAAGTCCATTTAAAATGAGTTCTGTTGTCTTCTGCTGAAAAACAAAAAGAAATGAAAGGCCTGTTGCACAAGTGTTCACACCTTGAGAGGAACTTGTAGTTGAAATACGTTTTTGATTTAATCACATCCTTGTGTCTTTCAGTTTTTGTTTTTGTTTGTTTGTGTGATCGAATGGAATCATTCATTTCTTCCAAGCATGTTCTTCTCTTATTGTACACTTCAGGGCATTTCTAAAAACAAATAATCCATTTTGAATATGTATTTCCAAGCCCATATAAACAGATTTGGTATACATTAACATTTTAAAGAAACAACACATGAAAATAAAGCAGTAGCACGATAACACTTCTTCTAAAGATGGAGTGCAAAGATAAAAACATGACAAACTGGATCTAATAGGAGGGTTTCACGTGACGTCACGATGCAGTGCCACGAGAGAGCGAAGTTCGGATGGAGGTCAGGAAGTAAAAAGTGGAGGATCTGCTATCTGAAAAAATGCCCATATCTTGTGTAGTTTACGAGTGCTCCAATCATTCTAACTGAATTAATAATAAATAATTATACACTGATTAAATTATATATTAAATTAAATTAAATTATGGCTCTTTTTATTAATGTTCGTCATATCTGAAGCACGTTGCAGCAGGAGGATACAAAATAGGGCTGATTCATGGGGGAAAAACGCCTCATTCCACCCTCTGGTGTCACCCCCACCCCGCCGAACAAACATAAACCCCCCAAACTCCTTTTTGACTGAAGTCTGAAAATATTAGACAAGCGGCAAAAAATCTACAGGAGGATAAAATAAAAAGAGGCGGAAGTTGAATAAAGTTCGGCTGCGATGGAGAGACAGCGAGATCGGAAGTCAGCAATGAGATATCCGAAATTTATTACATTTATTATATTTTTGTAACTATATTTCATAGTTACGTTGAAGTTTAGTTAGTTATTTTAGTGTCTTTGAAGCAAAAAAAAGGCGATGAAGGTGGAGCTCCAGTCCAGCTGTGGACAGGTGGACTGAGTCGGACCGAGCCGTAGTTTGAGAGAGGAGCTGAAAGGCAGAGATGGAGGAAAACCAGTCGGAGACAGAGTGAGGACTTTGATGAGGAAGTAGTTGATTCACTATTTCAATTATAAGAGGGAAGAGAAGAAGATCGAGCACCGAGCGGACTCTACGGTCCCGTTACCGGTCTGCCAGGGCAGACGTTGTGGTGCTAACTGGATGCTAACTACACCGAACAGCTGATGAAAGCACGTAAACAACGGGAGGTGTAGAACTTTTTATTCAGCGGGTCGATCCACAACCTCGGTACCAAACAGCTCCACGATGATAATCGTTTGTTTGTTACCAGGGTGAGTGTTTGTTCTGATATTGTTTTATATGTTACGATCATGCTAACAGTAGCCGCTAACATCAACACACATCCAGCACCTAACGACACAGAACTAGGGCAGCCTAAAGTCCAGATGAGGTCCACATTAAACTACCAGTAACTTAATATTCACTACTAAATAAACAATCATTATAAAAATAACCTCTAAAACTAGTTAGCAGCTAACATACCTCTGAATGAAGTGATGCTGCAGACACCGACATTCTGCTCCTCCTGATCGCAGACAGTTTAAAATCCACTTTTTACGTTGTCGTTCTGTGAGCTTTCTACATTTTTCATCTTTGTTTATGATAATCAGTGTTATCATATATTGTCATAGGGTTGGGCAGAATCGTGTGGAATTATTCATCAGATAAACCTTTGCTGGTTATTATTTGGCACCTGGTGATGTAAGACGTGTGTGGTACCGACAGCCTCAGCAAATCTTTAGGTTCTGTTGAAAACTCATTCATCTTCATCAAACGAGTCATGGCTGACATATTTGTGAACAAATTGTTGTTATATATCTTGAAATAGGACCTAAATCCATACAATATAAACTCTCTACAGTAGTTTCCTCCATAGACATTTTACCCCCTGCCCTCAAGCGGAGATTGCTCCGCCTTTGAAACCACGTGTCTGAAACCAGCTATTCAATCAGAGGATTTTCTGAATGGATGTTGAATTAGAAAAAAATTATTGCAATGCATTGATGAATGGATTTTTAGCCACCCTTTGAACAAGCGTCCAGTCCAGACATATATACTGTATAACAGTATAAATACTGAACCTATCAGAACTGCTCTTTGAGTGTTGCTGTTTAATCTCCACTGAACCCTGAACAGTATCTGTCTTGTCTTTTCAGCAGCTCTGAAGGAACGTCCAGTTCTCTGGAACGCCACTGCTCCAACTTTTCTCCTTCCTGACGACTGTCTTCTACAGATCTAATTCTGGGGAAATTTTGTTGTATTTTTATATGACTATTTTCCTAATGCTGTGTAATCATCAATGTCTGAAAAGTCCTGCTGGGACAGCTGAACAAGCCTGAACCTCAGCGTTGATCCTTTAACTGATGGCAGCTAGAGAGAAGGCTAATTTAACCAGAAGATGATCAACAACAGGGGTGTGTAGACTTTTTTATGTCCACTGTGGGTCAGGGGTAAGTGACTTATATATAAAAACAGACCAACTTTTCAGAAATATGATTCCAAAAAAAGAAATCCTTTGCTCCTTGGAAACAAAAATGAGGAAATGTGAAGTTGAGCAAAACATTTGCAACAACTCCAACCCAGTGAAGAAAAGCCTTGCATGTTTTGTCTTTGTCCCCGTCCAGTCATTCACTGTGCCAAGAGGGAAAACAACTGAGCTGGGCCAGCAGAGCATCACCAGATCCTCCAGAATCAATGACCTTGACTGCTGCTGAGTGAAACCCAAAACCAGCAGGACTGCAGAGAGGACCACATGGAAGAATCCAGACAGGACATGCCCTGCACATCACACATCAACACTGTTTACAACACGGAGAGGACAAATTCCACTTCCACCTGGTAAAATAAGCCTGTAATCCCACGACAAAGCAATTATTAGCCTGTTTGTTTGGACTCAGGCTTAAAGTAAAAATGCCCTGCTTGTTACTCAAAGCTGCCAGCAGCAGCTTTCAGCATCACTCAAGCTCAAAAGAATCTCTTCACGTTTTACTATTTCTGTCTCTGCTGAGTTATAATGTCATTATAAGACTAATGTTGTCTTAATATGACAGTATGACTTAGTTATAACTACGCATTGTCTTAATGTCCTCTGCCGTCCCCCGATTAAACCGGTGCGTTTCCCTGCTTTATGTCGAGAGCTGTATGCGGGTTATATACCGGAGCAACCATAACCTCAGCTCCTTATGCTACAGCTGTCACAAACAAAGTCAACAGCATCATGTTAAGAACTCATAGTAAAGACTCAGCAGTTAGTTAGCTCGCTAGTGGCTAAACTACGGGTTACGTTGGTTTATTTTCCTATTTAAAAGTTGCTCAAATAACGTAAACTTACCGGGTTGGCCGGCTGATGTGGAACGGTATTCGTGAACAATAAAAAGAACTTGGAGAATGTTGTCCACAAACTCACGTACCACCTCGACTCCTTCACGTCGCTGCATCAACGACAACAGAGCGGCTCCGAACCACGCCACTTGTAAGCCTACGTACGTCATGACGTCAGCACGCAGACATTGACGCTTGACGTCTTTTTCTGCTTTTAAAAATAAAAGTTTTTATACAAAGAAATAAAAAATAGATACAATTAGCTT